GACAGGCCCAAGTCCAGCTTCCACATCCACCTTAGGAGGGCAGTTTGTCCCAAAAACTTCTTAGCTTAACAGAAATAGATTCATCCTCACTGACTTGTGATTGACTTAGATTGACTTATCCAAACTGAAGGAGGTCCCTGCCCCCGACAAAGACTTTCTCTTTAAACCACAGCCAGGCTCTCTCATGACTCTCTAAGTGGGTCCACTCCCTTGACCACTGCCTGCTGTCTTTCTTGCTATTCTACTGCTGTGAAGAGACACCAAGACCAAGTCCAAGGCCACTTAGAGCAGGTGGGCATGGCCTTGAGCAGCACCTCAAAGCAGAGAGAGAGAGAGAGAGAGAGAGAGAGAGAGAGAGAGAGAGAGAGAGAGAGAGAAACTGGGAGTGGCAGGGGCTTCAGAAATGTCAAAGCCCACCCCCAGTGACACACCCCCTCCAACAAGGCCACACCTCCTAATCTTCCCCAAACAGTTCCACCAACTGGGGGCCAAGCATTCAAGCTGGAGGCCGTTCTCATCCAGGGCACCACACCTGCCAAACTCAGTGTTAGCACAGCATCTTACACAAACCTGCTCCTGACAATTCACCCACTAATGTCGAATGCCATCACCATGTCTACATGCTGGCTCTACAGTGCTCAGCTCTCTCTGTAATATGCAGAGCTGAGGTCTGCCTCTTTGCCTTCTGCAGTTGTCTTGGATGAAGCCTCTTTTGTCTTGAGAAGAGTTCGTAATAACCGTCCCTTTCCACTCCTCATCTCTGTGTGTCTGCCTCTGACTGAAGAATGCCGTGGCCCACAGAAATCCAACATGAACTTGACCTCTGCTATGGTTTGGATGTCATTTGTCCCCAAAGGTTCACACATGGGACCTTTCCTGTTGTGCTGGAGATGAGAGCTGGGGGAACCTTCTAGAAATCAGGTCAAATGTGAAGTTCTTAGTGCATCCAGGGCAGATGCATGAGAAGGAAGGGTTAAGAGAACGCTCATGGGTCTCTGAGCTCTGATAAGAGCCGGTTGCTATAGAAACAAGCTGGATCCCCGGGTGGCTCTGGCTTCCTGTTTCAAGATGGGATCTCTAAGCCCTCATGTGCACAGCCACTGTTGGGACATCTGTCGTGTCGTGAGGTCCTCACTAGAACTCAGCCAATACGGCTGCTGTGCCCTTGGACTCCAGCGCCAAATAGACCTGCTTGCTTTCTAAAGTTAGCCTGCTTCCAGTTCTTACTGTAGCGATATAAAGTGTATTCATACAGCCTCCCATGTCCGGACATGCTGCCCTGAGAGTCCACTTAGTTCCTCTGAAGCTGAGCCACTGCCGGTTCATAGACCGCGCTGGACAATGCCTTTCCGATGGACTGAGACGACAGAGCTAGCCCCACAGATGACGGGGCCTCCACTGCAGACTCAGCGCCCCTCCACACACCTGCCTCAGCCTCGGGACACTTCCCTGCTGCTCTTTGCCACCCCACTGCCCCCAAGCCTTTGTCTCCACCGTAAACCTTTAACACACCACATTCCTGCCTTCTCAGGCGGTGTCCTCTAATTAAAACAGGCCCATCTTGTTTTCCCAGGGCCCTCAGCCTGGGTGAGTGACTCACTAACCCTCTGACAGCTCTCTCTGTAGTGTGAATGACTAGTAGGATCTCCAGGATCAGCTTCTCACACTTAGGTGTGCAGTGAACCAGGAGCTTATGCTGACCACGAAGTTTGGAGCTTGCCCGTCTAATCTTGTTTTTCATGTGACAGCAATGATCTAGAACACTTGCTAAATAGACATTATCTGGTCTTTGCCTCTGAATGCTCCAACTTTGGGTTGAGGTTCTAGAAATGTAAACTCTGTAAATACTCATCAGGGATGTCGGGGGAGGTGTTCCTGCAGGCACAGGTATGTTAGGGGAAGGGGAGGGGTATAAAAGGAAGAGGGGTGGGCCGTGTAGCCATTGCTGGAGGTCACCCAGCTTTTCCTAGGCAGATACAAGTCAAGCATCAGGCTTGCCCTGTCCAACATAGCTTGGTTGTGGAATGCTCTCTGGGGCGATGAAGGAATGGAGAACAGAAAGACACGGGTACAGAAAAGCTGGGATCTGATGGAGGGGCACCACCCGGGAATAATTCAGAATGTCAGCGCATTTACTGTGCCCAGCAGAGCAGGAGGGGTTAGCTGGTCTCAGCTGAACGTGCCTGGAGGGGAGCAGTCTCGGTTTCAGGAGTGGCGCACTGCCAACATGGGCCTGCGGACCAGAAGAAGGCTTAGCCTGACCTGGGCCTGACCCGGGCCTGACCCACGGAAGGGTTTGCCAGCCTCATGAGTCTGCGGCACTGGTCCTTGTCAACAGTACACCTTCACTCGGGACCTTATCTGTCCTTAACACATTCCCCCCGGGGCCTCCTCGGCTCCCCACCATCGCATTTCCCGTGTTTGATGCCTCACTGAGAACTCCGCATGAGGAATCACGCCTCCAGCCAAGCCCCTACAGTCTGGTCTTCCATGTTTGGAACAGAATGCTGGTTGCCCCGCAGAAAACGGCTTCGGATTCAGCTTCCCTGAACTCTTTTTTTTTTCTTTTTTTTCTTTTTTTTTTTTTGGTTTTTCGAGACAGGGTTTCTCTGTGGTTTTGGAGCCTGTCTTGGAACTAGCTCTTGTAGACCAGGCTGGTCTCGAACTCACAGAGATCCGCCTGCCTCTGCCTCCCGAGTGCTGGGATTAAAGGTGTGCGCCACCACCACCCTGAACTCTTGCTGTGGGGTCTGCGTCTTGACTCACGCCATTACTTTACCCATCTGATCCCTGGGCCCTTCGTGTGTAAGATAAGGGAATTCCACCACGTCGAAGCCAAAGCTTTTGAGCTGAAGGTGGGGTTACATGCAGTAAGGGAAGAGTGGGTGTTTATATGATGCACGATTAATAAAAGCTCGGGGGCAGATATTGGGGTTCAACCTGAAAACCCAAAAAGCAATGCAGCCAGTCACTGGCTCTTACCTCGACCATAGTCTGAAAATGGCGATCCTGTCTTCAGGAATCTCAGAATGAGACTGTGTCTGAGGGCTGTCTCTTCCTGTTTTATAATCTTCTCTAGGGCTGGGATTAAAGGCGTGCACCACACGGTTTCTATGGCAGCTAGTGTGGCTACTGGGATTAAAGTGGTGACTGCATGGGTCTGTAAGGCTGTCCAATGGGGCTGTTTTACTCTCTGATCTTCAGGCAGGCTTAATTTATTAAAATACAAATGAAATGTCGCTGCCGGAGAGAGAAGTGCCAGTACCCACTAATGAGGCGCCCTCTAGTGGGAAAGACAAGCAAGACCCTGGTTCCTGGGTAAGTAGAGGACGCTGTTCTGCAGAAACTGCATGGCCACATTAGTTAGTCCGCCAGGTTTGATTTTATAATCTAGCCTGTTTTCACAATGTGAGCTTCAAGCTACAACTGACAATGTCTGGGAGCGACAAGACTTCCAGCCTCGTTCGCAGTTCAGCAGACGCCAAGTGCCTCCCTCCAGTCCTGCCAGTGAGGAACGCTGGTGTCATTTGAAGGTATTGGTCTGTGCCAAAGTACCATCAGAATGAAAACCACGTTTGTAAAAATGTTTGGGGTTTTGTTTTTGGAGACAGGGTTTGTCTAGGTAGCTCTGGCTGTCACAGAACTTGTTCTGTAGACCAGGCTGATCTTGAATCCGGAGATTCGCCTGCCTCTGCCTCCGGAGTGCAGGGATTAAAGGTGCGTGCCACCTTTACCAGGCTCGAATTTGTAATTCTTGTAGAGGAGCTCCAGGTCTTTGAGCAACTGTCTAGAGAGGCTGTGTAAGCTAAACCTTTTTTTAAAATTATTTGTTTGTTTGTTTGTTTACTTTTACATTTAGTTCCAAGTCCAATTCTGTAACAAACAAAGTGTTAAAGGCTGGACAAGTGCCACAGCTCTGGCGTCTGTTCCTTCTACGGATGCTGCTATCCCACTGGCTCCTGTTGAAAGTTAGGTGGGGTATTTGAATGCATCCATCCACACCCCTCGCCTGGTTACCAAAGGGGAAAAAAAAACAACGTCACAAGAGCGAAGCAAGCGACTGGAGATTTGAACCCAAAGACTTTAAAGGTGCTAACCTGTCATCCACCTGAGCGGAGCGTCTTATATGTTTCCGGGTCCGCCCAGCCTTTGTCCTGTGAGGCTCCCGACACGCAAAAAGTGCTAGTCAGGAGGAAGCTGAACCAGGGCATATAAATTGCTCTCTGCTGCCCTCTTGAGTGAGTAGCTTGGCTTGCATTGGAGGCTGCCTAGACTACAAGTGAGGAGAAGCTGTGCAGGCCACACAGAACGCCCTTGACACCTAACTGTCGCGCTGTCTGTGTGAGCGCGTGCGCATCTGCTTCTGCCAGGAGATTGAAGAGGGAATTCGCACTTCACACCTTCGCCGGCTCCCAGTCCCAGCCCCGCCCGTCAGGCCTGCACAAGCTCCTCATCATCCGGAAGGAAGCCTGTCTGCCTTTTATCAGTAGCATTTGCATCAGATCTTTGAACACCCTTGAAACCCTGGCGCTAAACAATTAGTGTCTTATTGAACCAGCGTTTTTCTAACTTGGCACTCATAATTGCAGCATTTTTTTTTTTTTTTTTAAAAAAGCAGTTTCAACTGAGCGGCATGAAGTGAGATGACCCAGCTGGGCTAGGGAAGACTGTATGAGAACCTCTGGTTTTGCACACTGTTTGATCCCATCCTTCTTAACTTTATAATTTGTGCTATGTTTTGCAATATGCATATGTGTAGGCTAGTATCGGTATATAATTTATAAATAAATATGCATATGTAGTGGAGAAATGCTAGCTACATTTCATTTAGTTATTTTGCTAATGAAGGAACAGACCATTATAAAACCTTAGGGAGTATTCTAGAAGAATGTGTTAGTCAGGGCTCTCTAGAGTAACAATTTCTAGAATGAATAGTCACATATACATAGAAAGGGGATTTATTAGAATGACTTACACATTACGGTCCAGCTAGTCCGACAATGGCTGCCTATGAAAGGAAGTTCCAAAACTCCAGTAGTCATTCAGTCCACGAGGCTGGGTGTCTCAGCTGGGCTTCAGTATATGCCCCAAATCCCAAAGCAGTTTCTGATGACAGTGAAGGCTTGAACTCACCAGTGAGGCGAGAGCAAGCGTCTTCCATGTCCTTATCTAGGCTGTCAGCAGAAGGTGTGGCCCAGATTTAAGGCGGCTCTTCCCACCTCAAAGATCCGGATTAGAAGTGGGTCTTCCCACTTTGAGATTTAATTAAGAAAAAAAAATCCCTCACAAGTGTCCCCTGCCATTGGGGTTTTAGTTAATTCCAGATGTAGTCAAGCTGCCAACCAAGCATGGGCATCACAAGTCCATCCCTGCCTTGTCAGTTTGTCGTACAATCACACCTCCTTATGCCATGCTTAGCTTCCAAATGAAAACAGTAACAGCTTCAGGCGAGCATGACTGTCTGCAGAAAGTGGTGCAGCTGTGGCTCTGACTCAGCCACCTGACTCTCTTCTTACTGGGCCAATTCACCCAGTGAGACGAGGCTCCCTCTTGTCTAGCCTGGGAACACCTTACATACTCCTGGAACCAGGGTCTGCATCTCATCTTGACGTAGAACTGCTATTCTCAAGGTCTGCTCTCATCAGATGTGCACACCCTAATCTAGCCTTGTGGCGAGTTGGTTCTGCAGATCCGGGGTAGAGCTCTGGAGTCTTTATTACCTTCCATAGTCTGACATGGGGAGCCTAAAAACCACATCATAGCAGAAGTATCCCCCACTAGGCAGAGACCGGAAGACAAGTTTGAGGTCACCGACACCTGAAGAGTCAACCTCGGTGGCTCCTGTTCCTTTAAGCCTCTTGCAGCTTCATCATTGCATCTGCCAGAGAGGCCCCCCATTCCTCACAGCTCTGGCTTCCCAGAGGGTGGGATAGGAAGCCATACACAGGAAAACCTCCACTGTCACTGTGGCTAATACCCGTCTGGCGTTCTATACTGAGAAAGTCACGGTTGACACTTTGGCTGGTGACCATTGTTTCTCACTGGGGCCTCTGTAATGACTTGCTCTCTTTCATGTCTGTGTATGACAGGTCCCACCAGAAAATGTCTTGTGGCTTCCTGTGTGGCATTATTTGTGCTTGGAGCGGTTGCCATAGTGATCGCTGTTGGGATCACCTTCGGAATACCGACGAGGTCTGCAAGTATGTGTCAGCACACACACATGTATTTACACTGCATGTTTGCACATTGGGTGGACCTGCTGGTGGGGAATGAATGGTATGTGCTACTTGCCAGCCATCGGCCATTTTGCACATCCTCTCGCTATCCTCCATCCTGCAACGTGCCTGTTAGGACAGTTATGACCGACACTCGGGGAGAGGGGACAGCTTGCCCTGGGATCATGTAACTGTGAAGTAAACAAGCCAGCATTCTAACCCAGGTCAGTCTGACTCTGAAGCACACACAGGATACGGTCTCTACCTTCAAGAAATCTCCACTGTAAATAGGGCAATGGGAGGTGGAACAGCGTATAATTAGAAATTAAATTAGAGGGAAATCAGCGAGGACTGGGATGAAGGGACGTGGAAATGAAAGGACTGAAACCGGAGCTGAGCCTCGTAGGGAACCCTGAGTTTAGACTGTTTCAGGGACATAAAAGACACGGGCTTTGTCCTGTGTCAGATCTGAAGTGTATGAGGAAGAGGTATGAAAAATAACCCCGAGACTCCAGACCAGGTGTGGGGTGGGTGCAGGTGGGCCACAGGTTCAAGTCAGCCGGGACTACATAGCAAGACTATCTCAAAACCAACCAACCAAACAAGGACAACAACAAAGAAATGCAGCCTGAAGATGGCTCAGTAGACAAGGACACACTGTTGCCAAGCACAACACCCTGAGCTCAGTCCTCGAGCCCCACATGGTGGAAGGAGAAATTAAATCCTGGAACTTGTTCTTAAGACTCCCCCCCCCCCCCAGCACTGTGGCTGGCAGAGGCACACACGCACATGAACACAAATACATAAATGTGAAAGAATTCAAAACCAAACCTCCTAAAGAGTAGTCAAGGAATGGGTGTTGAGTTAAAAGAAAGCTGTGGTCCAGCACCACACAACTGTGGCAGTTATATGCGTGTGCACACATGTATAACCAACACTCCCTCGCCCACCTCCCAGTGTGAGACTTCCCTCTGCTGTGCTGTGCTTTTCCCATTGCTCATTTGGTTAACTCCTAAGGGGTTTAAGACCAAACTCAGATGTCCCCAGGATCTCTATACCAGACAGTTCCAGCTGTTAGATTCTGGACCCACCACCCTGCTTTCTCAAAGAGCCTAGTGAAGGTCAGCCCTGCAGAGACGCTGCAGCCAGCCCATCCTGTAGGATGTGGGACTGCGCTTCAGTGGGAGACCCTTCACACACTGACCTTCATTAACCCTGTCTCTCCAAGGGCATAGATTTGCATCAGGGTTTAAATTTCCCTGCCTGTGCTGGACTCTGCCCTCTTCATAAGGATTGCCCCAGGTACTAACTCCCTACCACAGAGTCACATCTCATCCCATCCTGGCATCAGTTTTTCAGAGGGTCCAAAGTGATACCAATTCCTTCAGATGACCAGAATTAAGGATTCTTGTTTCTGAAACCACAATGTCACCTCCTATTGGATCTGGTTTTATCTGCCTCTTAATGGTTCAAGATGAAAATGCACCCTTATCAAGCAAACGCCAAGCCAAATACCTCAGATATTCCCCCACTCTGCACAGCCGAAAGGGATTATGGGGGAAGATACAACTATGCTGAGATACAAGTGACACCAATGCTGTGGGATATTATTTGAACTGGGCAAAGGTGTGTTACATTTGTTCATGCTGTGGAACATTACCGTGTGAAGGTGTGTTACACTTGTTTCTGCTGCATTTGTCTAATTGTGTAAAGATGTGTTGTTGTTTCAGCTTGCCTGCCTAAGGCACCTACCTGATTGGGCTAATAAAGAGTCGAATGACCAATAGGTAGGCAGAGAAAGGACAGGTGGGACCGGCAGGCAGAGAGAATAAATAGGAGGAGAAATCTAGGCCAGGCAGTCGCCAACCAGACGTGGAGACAGCAGGAAGGAGACAGTAGGAAAAATAAGGTATATAAAAAGAAAAAAGGAAAAAGAAAAGAAAGGTAAAAAGCCCTGAGGCAAAACATAGATAAAGAAAAACAGGTTTATTTAAGTTAAAAGAGCTAGCTAGAAATTAGCCTAAGCAAGACTGAGCATTCATAACCAATAAAAAGTCTCCATGTCCTGATTTGGGAGCTGGTTGGTGGCCTAAAAGAAAATGTCTGGTCCACATCAGTATTTCTTTTTTTTTTTTTTAAAGATATTTATTATGTATACAGTGTTCTGCTTGCATGACAGAAGAGGGCACCAGATCTCATTCTAGATGGTTGTGAGCCACCATGTGGTTGCTGGGAATTGAACTCAGGACCTCTGGAAGAACAGCCGGTGCTCTTAACCGCTGAGCCATCTCTCCAGCCCCCACATCAGTATTTCTATAGCTTAGCTTCTTGAGATGTTTAAAAAGAGCTTTCCCTTTCGGTTAAGTAGATTCTGTTATATTTGAAATGCTATCATTTGGGGGCTGAGAGTTTAGCTCAGTGGTAAAGTACTTGCCTAGAATGTAGGAAGTCCTAGGTTCTGTCCCCAGCACTACAAACAGGAGGCCTGGTGCCACAGATTTGTGATCACAATACTCCAGAGGCAGAGACTGAGGATCACACTCATGGTCAGTCTCAACATCTTCATCGGTCACCATCATCATCAGTCAGAGGCTAGACTGTAACTTACTGGTTGATCACTTGCCCAGGATGCGCAAGAACCCGAGTTCAATCTCCAGGACTTCCAAAAAGAAAAATCTCAATTTAACTTTACTCACAATATGACCATGAAGTTGACAGAGTTACCTTTGTTCTTACCTCAGCTAAGAAAATCATAGGATGTTTTTCCTATGTGTAATGCATCACGAAGCTCACACCAGGAACCAGGCCTGTTGACCCTCATCTGCCTGCTATTACCTCTTGCCAGGAGTGAGTCTACACTTGTTTGCCAGGTGCCAATTTTTGTTGTTGTTGGCATCTAAGGAGGCTGGAAAGCATTAGATCCCCTGAAACTGGAGTCACAGATTATTGTGAGCTACCATGTGGGTCCTGGAATAGAACCCAGATCCTTTGGAAGAACAGCCAGTGCTCTTAACCACATCTCTCCAGCCCAATGCCAATGGTTTTGAGGGAATAAGAACTATCAAGCCTATGCCTGAGGAGTTCCGGAGTATGGGTGGGAAAGGCAGGAAGAAAGGAGAGGAAACAGTGGGGACAGCGGCACAAAGCGGATGAGCATAGGATATCCAGCATCCCTCTGTCTTTCAGGTTGGACTTATCACCAATGCAAAACAGCGTCACAGCAACCAGGCTTCCTGTGTGAGGACCGCACGACTTGCTTGCTGCCCTCTCTGCTTTGTGACGGCAAGATGGACTGTAGCGACGGTGGGGATGAGTCTGCCGCCTACTGTGGTGAGGCGGACCGGAGTTGGCTGGTTCTAGTCTATTACTTTTGGGGGGCCCACTACCCAGTTCCCAAATAAATACACAGAGGCTTAGTCTTTCTTATGAATGCCCAGCCTTGGCTTGGCTTGTTTTTAGCCAGCTTTTCTTAAATTATCCCATCTACCTTTCTGGGCTTTTATATCTCTCTATTCTATATTCCTTTCTTTACTTTTTACTCCATGGCTTGCTGCGTAGTTGGTGTTCTCTCTCTTCTTTCCTTGTTCCCTGATCTCCTTACCCAGATTTCTTCTCCGACTTATTCTCTCTGCCTGCCAGCCCCATCTAATCTCTCTTCTGCCTAGCTATTATTGGCCCTTCAGCTCTTTATTAAACCATCAGGTGTTTTAGGCAGGCAAAGTAACACAGCTCCACAAAGTTAAACAAATGGGACATAAAGGAATGCAACACATCTTTGCGTCATTAGACAAATGTTCCACAGCATAAACAAATGTAACACATCTTTAACTAATATCCAACAACAGTGGTCAAATTACCAAAAGTAAAGAACAGTAGCCAGGGATGGGCCATGGTGGTGCAGGCCTTTAATCCCAGTACTTGAGAGACAGAAGCACGTGGGTCTGAGTTCAAGGCCAGCCCCAGCGAGATCTATACAATGAGACCTTGTCTTCAAAGTAGTAAGCTAAAATTCAAAACTACCACTTAAACATTTTCACGAATAATTTTTCCATGAGAAATCATTTGTTTGTACAATATAGGCCAAGTGCCCAACAGTCTCCCACAAAACCTGATTTTCAAGTGTGCCGGCCAGAAGACATGGGTCTATGTGGACAGGGTGTGTGACATGAGGAATGACTGTGGCGACTGCTCAGATGAGTCAGGTAAAAAATGGAACCCATAGCTGATCTTTCTAGTGGGTTCTGGGAGTGGCTGCCCTTCCACTTCAATTGCATAAATGAGCTCTAACTTAGAAACCTTCTAAAGTTTTTTTTTTCTTCCACAAACTAAGAAATTCCATCATTCCCTGGGTTTCAGGGAGCTCCAAGGTAGAGAGCAGGCTTAGGCCGACCAAATCGTTCTGGCTTCCATTCCTAGCCCCATCACCAAAAGCAAATAAAGAGGGAGAAAGGGAGAGAAGGAAGGTAGGAGGAGGAAATGGAGAAGGGGGCGGGAACTATATTATTTCTTTAGTTCATGTCTATTTAAAGTGGACAAGTTCTCCAGCAAAGAACTTGACAAAGTTATTCAGTAGGAAGCTCTTGTATACTATCAACTTTCATTTGGGTTTCTTTGCCAATTTTGAAAGATGTACGAAAGATTTGCTCAATACTATATATAGTTCCCAGACTTTTTCCTCTTCGCTTCCATCCTTGTCTCCCATTGTGGCTTAACACTGAGCTGCACCCATGCCCACTTTACAGGCGGGCCAGGTCCCAGCTATTAAACAACTCCGGAGCACGATGGCTCCAACTGACACATGGGAAAGCTTCATCAGAAACACAGAATGGCCAATCAGCCCTTTGCTGGTGGTGAAGGGTAGAATGGAAATTCATCCTTGTAGTTAAGAAGTCTGGCTCTGGCTGGGCGATGGTGGCGCGCGCCTTTAATCCCAGCACTTGGGAGGCAGAGGCAGACGGATCTCTGTGAGTTCGAGACCAGCCTGGTCTACAAGAGCTAGTTCCAGGACAGGCTCCAAAACCATAGAGAAACCCTGTCTCGAAAAACCAAAAAAAAAAAAAAAAAAAAAAAGTCTGGCTCTGGAACAAAGGGATGAAAGTGTAGAGGGCCTTTGTTTCTGGCTAGCAGCCAATTAGAAAAAGGCCTGGTTCCCCTGCTGACTGATTGCCCCAACTCAAGAGGACCCTTCACTGTTTCCGCAGCATGTCAGTATGTTTAGTTTGGGCTGATGGGGAGAGGCATATCGTCTCTGGCTTTTCAAACTATGCGTAGAATCTTCAATAATCATCTGTAGTTTTCCCATGAGACAGCTTCGCTAACATTTTTTTAAACCTGAAGGGCTTTTTCTTGTCCAATAGCATTTTTCCCCCTTCTCGTTGACATTTTAAGTTATGCTTCTAAAAACAAACACAATTGTCTAGTTTCACAGTGCCTGGCGTGCTCGGGCTGGAGATGCGATACTGTTTTCTTCGCCGACTGTGCCTGCATTCCCAGAAGTCGCTGCAGAAACGGCGTCCAAGACTGTGCTGACTGGAGCGATGAAATCCTGTGCGATTAGGTTTATAACCGTGGTTTTGGAAAAGCTGAAAAATGTCTCTGCCTGACTTCTCCAAAGTACTGGTGTGTTTACCTTCCTGGAGTGTAGGGTAGGGAAGGGCTAGAGAACCTGTGCCCGTTAACAAAGGAGACAGGCAGAAATCAGATGCAGCTAAATTTAGGTCCCTCTTCCAGATAGCCAGAGTTGTGTGGGAAGCACACACATCCTCTATTTAACTAGGAGGGTCACTCTAAGAACTTTTAGATGGAGAGGTCTAGCTCACTAGTGTATAGCCCTGGTTTCAGAGCTAGCAGAAAATTAAGTCTTGAAAATTTGTTTTTAAATTAGCTTATAAAGAATTAGATGTCGTGACGGCAGTTTTCTAAGTGTTTTAGCAGCTAGCCTCCACCCCTTGTAACTTGCCATCTGTGGTCCCTTCTCATTTGTACATGTCCTTTGGTCCCCACCTCCCCCTTCCTCAGCATCTCTTTACCTTCTCTTGGTCTCTTTTCTAGTCTTTGAAGGCTTTATGTTAATTCTCATTTCTATATTCAGGTATGGATTATAAGCTAGGGCCTGCATATAAGACAATAATGGTTTTGTCCAAGTTTGGGTCACTGCTTAGTGTTTTCTAGAACCACCTGTTTTCCTGGGATTTCTTTACAAAGGAATAAAATTCCACCAAGGATGTATAACACAATTTTCATTATTCATCTGTGAATGAGCACTAGGTTGGTTGTTTCCTTGCTTTTGTGAACACAGCAGTAATGAGCCTTAATGTACAAGTATCTTGGTCAGATAGTTCTGAGTCCACGTAGAAATAGTATAGCTGGGTCCTATGGTGATTGTTTTTCAGAGAAACATCCTTACTGGCTGTAGTCATTTGCACTCCCACCAACCGTATAATTAGGGTTCCTTCCTCTTTGCTACAGCCTTGCCAGCACTTTTTGCCAAGTTTCTTGAAGGCAACCATTCTGACTGGGTGAGGTGCTACCTGTAGTTTAGTTTGCATTTTCCTGGAGTCTGGGATAAAACCAGCCCTAACCACCACCAAAAATCATCAAGACAAGAACAGTCCCTCCTTACTCCGCCAAGGCCTAAAATCCCTCCAAGTGGGGAGTGACCTGGGCTTGAATCTTATTCTACTACTGAAGTGGCCGAGGCTCACTCAGATATTTTACAGATATTCTCTTCATCTATTCATGGTCCTCCTCTAAGATTTTAATTTTTAGGAAACCAATCGTGCTTGCTGTCCTTCACCAGTAGTAGCCGTGGGAATTACAAACACAGCGAGGATATGGTGGACTGTGCTGCTGACACCAGCTACTCTAAACAACTCCATGGCCACCGCAGAGACAGTGCCGCCCTGTGGCTGATGTAATCTGTCGTAGTTATGTGCATCACTTCCCAGCCCATGCTTGAGGAGCCAGCAGGTGACGGGCACCTTTTCTATCACAAGGCTGGCAAATGCTGTTCCTGCAATAAAGTAGAGCAGCAGCAAAGCATCAATCAAATGTGATGAACCTGAGGCAAAGCTCTTTTTCCCGATAATGGAGACTATGAAGGGAAATTCATAAGTGAACCATAGCTACCAACACACTCTATATGAACAATCAGCAAACAATTGTGGGGGCTGAGGAATCCTCTCTGGTTAGGACAAAACAGGCTTAGCCTCTGTACTGGACAGACCCAGCTGGAGACCCTTCTAGAGATCTAAATCACATCATAGCCAGGTCAGAAGCCATCTCTACAAATTCAGGGCACGTCAGTGCCACCTAAGTGTTTGATTCTGAGCTGAACCAAGACCGTTTCTAACTATGCTACTTAAAAAACTCCAGCTTAGCCATTCCATTTGCTTGGATTCTAAAAATGAGTTTTCCCAGGTATGAAATTTATCCATTTCCTATGCCAGTATCAGGGAGTGCCCCATCACTGGGCAGGCTGTAATGCAATGTGTTTATAACCTGACCCATAAAGCTTCTGAAGTCACGAGTTTTTTTTTTGTTTTTTTTTTTTTTTTAGCAGTTGAGACTTCAGGAGCCTTGTCACTGTGGCAGTCTACCTTAAGGGAGGACAGAGTAATTCTACAAGTCCCTACCAACTTTATATTTGGCACAACTAACTCTGCACAGTAACTCTGGGATGCAGCACAGCACCCTGAAAGGGAACTGCAAGCCATAATATGCATTTAAAACCATCTCATAATAGTAAAGGCAATTCTCAGCTCTCCTCTGTGTGCTGAAGTGAAACGGCTGCTACTAATTCATTAGTCAAGGGAACTTGCCCGGGATGGTGAAACTGGTCAATATTCTGATTATGGTGGCAGTTACAGTGTATGTTAACAGAGCCTTTAGTAACAAAGTATCAGGTTAAACATATGAAATGGAGGTACTAGTTCCTACAGCATAAACTTAAAATGTTAAAACTGGGCTGGAGAGATGGCTCAGCAGTTAAGAACTGCTCTTCCAAAGGACCCAGGTTCCATTCCCAGCACAAACATACATGGAGGCTCACAACCATCTAAAGCAGAGTTTTCCAGGGATGCAATTATCCTCTTTTGAACTCAGCAGGTACAGGCATGCTGCACACGGTACACAGAAAGACACAATCTTTTTTAAAAAAAGAGAGAGGCACAAAGATTCTATATGCCTTACAATAAACAATACCAAAAGGAAAAAACACCTTGGCTTATGCACAGAACAGAGTTCTCCTAGCACACCCACCACACAGAGAGCATGAAAGCCATAAGGGTTGATTGAAAAGTGAACTCTCCAACACACCAACTGTGGAATGTCACCAAATGCTACCAGTATGACCGCACACCATGATCAACTTTCTATAGACAACTGCTTACTGTGTCTGTCTATAAAGCAGTGTCAAATAAATAACAATAAACCATATACTAGGCAAAGAATTTTATTAACCCTTTTCCAAACTTTATTCCCAGGCTTCTTCAGCTTAATTTGCTGCAAAGAATGAATTGTGTTTAAGCAAAAACTGAAAAGAGCTGCAGTGTCCAAGGGGCTTGGGCTTAAAAATATTAGCGATCTAGATTTGATCAGATCCATAAACAAAAGACCTTTAAAAAGCAGCCATGATATAAAATAGCAGCTCCTGTAACTTCTGCAAGAGTCACTTCTTCAGAAGTCCCCTCCGTTCAGTTTGCCTCGTTCTTAGAAGCCTCATCAAAATTCTCCACCAGGTCTAGAAAAGAACCAAACAGTAGACATCCTGAAAATAAGCCAATTCTACAAATAACTCAGATATTTATGGAAATGATCTCAAATGAAGCTCAAATGAGACCACGTTGGCATGGTAATAGAGTGTGGTCTGGAAAAGCTAACCGATTTTAGCATCATGTTTAAATACTCTGTTTATCGCTCATTCTCCCTCAATTTAGAAACTAAAAACAATCAATACAATCAGTAACAGAACTAAAGACTACCATGGCATGACCAGAGTCCAAGGCTTCAGAACATTTGTCTATAGTGAAAAAATTATGAATTTTTGTTCTTCCACATGACATGAACTCAACATAATTTAGTTGGACATGGTGTCACATATCTGTATTCCCAGCACTCAAGAGGCCGAGTCAAAAGGTTCTGAAATTTGAGCTACATATTGAAACATTGTTTCAAACAAACGATATAAAAGAGAAACATTGCTAACACTAAGAATGTAAGCTCCTCCCGTTCTGTGTTTCAAAGCAGCTTGAGCCCTAAGAGCAGCTGATATCCTGCTCACCCCCGATCACTGCTGTAACTCACCACCACCAGCCTGTTAACTTTTTCTGTAAAGATTCATTTTTCTCCCTTGCCAAAGTGATTCTTACCTGGGACTTCATCATCATCATCCTCTCCTGTAGCAAGGGGTGCTTTTCCATCCACAGCTGTGAAAGAAAAATGAAAATGTAACCAACCTATCTTTTTTTTTTTTTTAATTTAATTTTTTCCGAGACAGGGTTTCTCTGTGGAGCTTTGGAGCCTGTCCTGGAACTAGCTCTGTAGACCAGGCTGGGCTTGAACTCACAAGAGATCCCACTGCCTCTGCCTCCCAAGCTGGATTAAAGGCTACCACCACCCAGCACCAACCCATTTCTTTAGATCAATAAATGTCAATCAAAAGGAAACACCAAGTTACGACCTGTATTCGTGATGGCAAGTGACACCCGAGGTTTCAACCTATATTACCATTAACATAAAATTTTGATGGACACAAACAAATGATCAGAACACAGCTAATACTAATCTGCATACAAAACAGTGAGAACACTGAGCGTAGGGAGTGCTCAGGGTATAGATAAAACCACACACCAAATTAAGGTTAGGTTGATTTTGGGAGGGCAAATGAAGAGGTCAGTCATTTCCCTAAATATTCTGTGCATGGTATAAAGCCTAGTAAGTACTGAAATAAAATATTAAAAAAAAATTAAACTAAATACGGTGACTTAGACCAACCACCACAAAAGCTGGAATGCAAAGGCAAGCCTACAGTGAACTCCAGGTCAGCTAGGGCTACACGGGGGAGACCAACCTCAAAAAGCCATAAAACGGAAGAACAAGAAGCAAAAAGGCCAAATTCAAAGTGACCTTCAACTGTTATGTAACCACTGTTCCTCTTTTCTTCCCCCTTTCCTTTTTGAGATAGTAGGAACTATACTCAGGGCCTTGAATAAACAAACTAGCAAGAACTCTACTACTGAGCTTCACTGCTCAGTCTATTTTAATAAACAAATAAATAAATGAGGTACTTTAATTTGCCCATGCTTTCAACACATAAATTTGCAACTTGCAGTGCTACTATTTTAGCCTCCCCAGAGGGTGGCACTGCAGTCATGGGCCATCACACCTAGGCCACTTTTATTAAACAGAAAGGTGAGTTCTGAGAGCAAACAGTTCTAACCTGCACACTCATCAGTGGAAATTTCAAAAGCTGATCTCAAAGTTCCAGATGGCTTAAAACATCTTGATGCCTCCCCCGTAACAATAAAAGCATAAAGTGAGTAAGCATCTAACAAAAACAGCTGAGGAAATAGCAAGCCACACAGAGTAAACCCCTTGAGCTGCTTCTGCATTCAGATTCTTAATTTTTAAGCAAAAGTAAGTAAATAAATAAGTCGATCAAGCATTAAATTGTCATACCACCTATGATGGCTAATCTTGGTTAACTCGACACCAAGGGGGAAGAGGGTACCTCAAACAAGGAATTGCCTCCATCAGATCAGCCTAATGGCATGTCCGTGGGACATTTTCTTTATTGCTAATTGATGTAGCGAGATCAGCCCATCATAGGTTAGTGTCATCCCTGGGCAGGTTGGCCTGGGATAAGGCTGTCCAGGGCCAAATGGTCAGCCCTGAAAACATACACGTAACATTATACATACCAAGTAGGTTATATTTAGGAATATATATAGTATACACATATCCATATAACAATGAAATAAAGGCTGTGAATTTGAGCCCGGGAGTAGCCAATATAGCAACATTTCTCCATGGTTTTTGCCTCAAGCTCCTGCCTTGGCTTCCTTTGATGATGAACTTGTAAAATGCAATGAAATAAAAATAAGCCCTTTCTCCCCAAGATGTTTTGGTCACGGTGTTTATTGCAACAGAAATCAAAAGAGAACACAGCCTGTTGTACATGTAAGTCAACTAGGCTACAGTCTGCCTTAAACAAAATCCCAGTCAAACTATAATTTGAAACACCAGAATATTGGCCGCTATCATCTATATTAGCAATTAATCATGTGTTTATAAATACTTAAGAGCCCCCAAATCACGAAACACAAAGACTGTAAATAAGATGGCATGCTAGTTTTACTTTTGTTTTTCTGAGACAGCATGTCTGTAAGTCTCAAACCCTTAATTCTCCCTAGTTCAGCCTCTCAAAGTGTTACCAGGTGAGTCACCACGCCCAGCCTGTCAACTTTAAACCTAAGCACAGAAAAATACAAAACTGACAGTTTTTATTTATAAGTAAAGTTTCTAGTGTGATTCAAAGCTAGGAAGCTGGTAAAAAACAAACATCCACCAAACCAAGAAAAACTAGACATATCACTATAAATGAGACTACATAGAAAAAAATTAAACGTGTATTGTTCTTGTAGGTAAGTAAGTTGGTGTTCTACATCTAAAGACATTCTTAGCAATTCTGAGCACTGAGCTCAAACAAATGCAGCCCTAAGGATACTCACATTGTTTGGGCAGAGCTTCAGCCAGTCTCCTTAAACTAGTCAGACTGTCTGCCCCAAGCTGGTTTAGAATGCTGGGAAGCATTTCTGTCAGTTGCTTTGTCTCGGCGTGGCCTGTATAATGGTGAAGGTGTTTGCTGCCAGAGACGCCTGAACTTTAGGGTTGTTAAAATGGATCACTGTTCCTTGGT